GCGCAAGTAGCCCGCTTATCGACGGGCAGGGTTTGAACTCCTTAATACCCACTTAGACAGAGAACACTCCCCTAAGATTTCAGCTCTCTAGCTTCTCAGAACCCCGAGTTATGAACTTACGCGGGAAAAATTTTGAAGGACTCGTACGCGGGTACCACGCTTACCCGGCGGCTGGATTTGAGCTCATTAGCACCTGCTTGGGCGGAGAACATTCCTCTAAAATTTCAGCTTTCTAGCATCTCAGAACCCCGAGTTATGAATTTACGTGGCAAAAATTTTGGAGGGCTCGTACGTGGGTACCACGCTTGATCAGTCGGGGGCTGGATTTGAGCTCATTAGTACCTACTTAGATGGGGAACATTCGCATAAAATTTCAGCTCTCTAGCTTTTGTGGTTCGCGAGTTAGCAGCTTATCCGTAAGAAACTTTGGCGGAGTCTTACGGGGGTACCACGCGCAAAAGACCGCCCATTTTGGGGATAGGGGCCCGCACGTGCATGCAGATTAAGTCCCCAAAGTTTCAGCCCCGTAGCTTTTGTCGGTCTTGAGATGAAAAATCGGTACAGACGCGCAGCGCACACACAGACACACACACAAACACACACACACAGACAACCACTCGTCAATATGCGTTATTCGCATTGCTTTGCTGCAAAAAACGCATAAATAGCTGCTAGAAACACTGTAGAAGCCAAATAAGTCAGGAAAAAAAAAATTAAGCCAATCGTAGAAGGCGGAAAAGACAGGTTAGTCATAATGGTGAGGATGAGAATAACGAACAACAAAATGAACCGTTGAAAAATGTCCACGAGATGCCTATGAAACACTCAGAAGGACCCACTTGAAAGTCTGTGCCTGAAAAAACCCAACTGAAATTCAGCACAGTACAGTGGACGAATTAAGTCTACAGCCAAGAAAAGAAAGACTGACAGATTTCCTGATGCTGAGGAAGGGCTTTGAAACTGTCCAAACTACCAAAATATTGCTAAAATTATGCTAAAACTTACCAAGTAAAGTGGCCACATCATTTTTTTCGATCTTAATTTCTTTAGTTTCCTGAAGTTCGGCACCGAATGCAGCCACCGTGTTGTCCTGCAAACCACAAAATAATTAGCATTACAGAAACGCAAGAAAAAGAAAGAAAGTGGTGTTACAACGACGAAATCAACGCACACACGCACATTGCCGCGGAAAAACGCAATAGAGGCGATAAAGCCAATTTTCCAGATTGTTTTTATCTGTCTGTAAAATTATCGCTTTGGTATCTCTGGTTTGAATTTTGATTATTTCTTTCTCTTGCTGCTTTTGTTATTATATGTGATGGCGGCTCATTGCAAGAGGGCTATTTCGCGGCTCACGGAAATTTCGGTGGTTCTCTAAGGCATACAACTTTACCTCGTCAACGATAAAGAATATGGATTTTCTCCAAAAAATCCGCAGCGATAACTTTTCCGATACATATAGAAAAGGTAATAAAAGCAACAGCTTACAATTCTACCGCCATACCAACCATGTTATTATGAGTGTTAGATGTGGAACACTTGAGGAACGGAAACTAGCTGTCTCTCAAGCAGCAATGGAGCGGCGAATGATTGGCGCCAACAGGCTACAGCACATTCCAAATGAAATGTTATGAGCCAGATCTGGCGTGAAAGATATTACTGAAGCAATGTACGCCAGAAAGAGAAGATGGGCTGGTCAAGTGGCACGGATGTCAGTCAATAGATGGACGAAGCGGACAATGGAATCAAGAGAAACTGACAAAAAAAAAAAAAAAACATTAATAGCAATGGCAAAATTAGTGAGGTGGAGGCCCTAAGGTACGCCTGTAGGGTATCGCGCAGACTCGGGGAGCGCAACAACGAATCGAATGGAGAAGTTGCCAGCTGCATCAACGGCGTGACAACGGACGTCGATGACATACAGCTGTTCAAGTATTCGAGTAATATATATATATATACATATTTATGTAGGAGTCATCTATACCAATTATGTATGTACTATATACACA